CGGCGTACCTTCATCGATACCTCCTGAATCATGCGGCCCGCCAGGGCCCTGAGGTCCTCCACGGCCGCCTCCACCATCTGAGGGTCCCGATCCCCCCGGACTCCCTGGAGGCGACTTATATGGTCGTTTAGCGCCACCTTCGTCGCGCGTCGACATAATCTCAGTGCTCGGAGCGCCACTCTTGTCATCCCCTTCTTTGTCCTGTCCTGCCCCGCCAAACGGCTTAGCCGCCGGCGGCCTCGCAGGGCCGCCCCTGGAAAATGGATGGTAGTTGACCAAACGGTTATCATCATTGGACCCTGTCAATTTCGTGTTGATTGCTAATCCATTCTCAGGTGTGCTCGGCTTAGCCGGACCTTCTAGAGCAGGACCGGGAACGGCAAAGTTGTGGCACATCAAGGGCCTCACAAGGGGTTCTTGTGAAAGTAATGGCAAATCGAATGAACTAGATGCGAACCCTTTTTCTTGTCCGCTCTCAGTGTGCGGGGTTGGATTCGTGATGATAGTCTTAAGCTTCATCATTCTTTTCTCTGACTCGGCTGCATTCACCACGGCCTCTTCTTCTCGCACGTTGGCAGCTGACCCTTCGCTCTTCTGTAGGGTACATTTGGAACATCTTCTAGTGCTCGCATCGAAATGATCTTTGCAAGCCGGCAAACCACAACCAGCGCAATCACCCGTCTTGGGGTTGAAGCAAATTGAACAAAACTGAGAAACAGTGATACTCGCTGTGCGAGTTTCTTCCCTTTTCGCGGGCTGAGGCTGCGGTGCAGCCCTCACCTGCAAAAGTGACAATCCCGCGTTCACTACGGCTGTCGAGTCAGACTGGGGCGGAACGGCCGCTGTGCCAGACGACTGAGCCGCTGGCGATGGTCGTCTGTCCGTCCCAGTCGGCTTAGCCGGCGGGCATTTATCATTGCTCACTTGCATGCGCTGCAGGGATGCTCTGGCATTTTCATGCGATTTAAGTTCCTCTCGATATTGGCTGTTCTGGTCAGCTATTGTCGCAGCTACAACTTGAGTGTTAACCACTTCCAGCCTGGCGTTTTTGAGCTTTTCTCGAAGCTCCTGTTTCTCTCGGTTCGCCCTGGCTGTAGCGATTTGTTCTCCATCTACTCTAGCCATCGCAACAGCGGCGGTGACCGTTTTGGCATCAACAGAATGACTAGTCGCCTCCACAACGGCCTGTCGTTCTGAAGCCAACATTTCGATATATCTACTCTCGGCTTCTCTCTCCGCCTGCCGCTGGGCGGCCGCGGTCTGATGGTGCACCTGCTCCGCCAGTTCTTGTTCTCGCTCTCTGGAAGCCCTGGCTAGAGCAAGCCTTTCAGCCTCGAACGTCTTCCGAACTTCTGCCATGGTTGCGATCATCTCCTCTCGATTCAGTCGGGCCCTTTCGGCCAGCTGCGCTTCGCTGGCCAGGAACTCTCGCGGGGTCTTAGCTTCAGCTAGTCTGGCTTGATACTGAATAGTTTGTATAAGAGGAGACGTGCAGTTATGCTCGTTCATAGGGAAGCAATCTTCACACGACCATTGGATACTACACTTAGGGCATACCTCAGAGCAACCCTTACACACTGGTTGCCTACATGCACCTTCTGGCTGGTTGGCTTTACCCGGGCATCTGCTCTCCGCCTGAGGCGCGCAGTCAGAATTCCAGTTCCAGTATGTGTCCATCATGGAGATATTGCTGTTACTCCTTGAAGTAGATCTCGCTCCTGATCCCGGCATTTTTGGTCTTCCCCTACTACGAGCGTTCGATCGAGGACGCACCAATGTACTTTCTGGGGGTTAAGGTACCTCCTGAAGCCCCTCATCCCTTTCGTCCTGTTTGATAAACTCAGTGCACGAAGCTGGTTGTCCAACCATCTCCTCATCCTCAACTACAGCCGGCATCGAGGATTGCCAATCGCCTGAGGCGACGGCAGGACGATAGAAACCTTCTTTAAGCGGTGAGTCGTTGAAATCGCAATCCTCGTTCCTCTGCTTCTTGAGTTGAGGTGCAGGAGTCCGTCCTGTAGATTCCCTATCATGCTTCGCCTGAGTCTCAGCTTTGTCCGCCTGAGGCGTCAGGTCACTGGTGTCTTCATCTGATCCATCTGGGGACCACCTCTCGCCTTGGGCGGGGTGGTCTGCTTCCACTAAAGAGAACAATTCTCGGCTCAGGGAGATTTCTTGTTGACATAATAAAAATATTCCTCCATTGAATTTACGTCATGCTCTCTACCAACCAGATCATCACTGTCTTGGCCGAGTTGTCCGTCCAATGCTATTGGGATGGGAACATTTCCACTCGCGCCTCCCCATCCGCCTGGGATGTTGGGGTACGCGCCTGTGGACTCGTGGGCTTCCCCCGGTCGACTGGCTTCACCAGCGGCCGGTACGAATGTATGTGTAGCATTCGGAATAGGACTGATTGACTCCGTCGATTTGGCGATCAAAGACGAGAACGCTCCTCGTCTAGATCTTGCTGTTGTGCCATTCCGTCCATGCGGGTCTGGAGTTTGAGCACGATTACCGATCGGAACTCCAGAGGGAGAGCCATCTTCCGACGCCTCAACCGCCTCTTCAGTGCTTCTACCCCTAGAGACCCGAGTGGCGGTATTAGAAGAAGGAAGGCGGCCCTGACCAGGGCCGTTCTCCTGTGGATCATGTCCGTCACGTTGTACAACATAATGTTCTGCGCATCGCGAAGTGACGGACACCTCATCTGTCTTATCATAGCTCATACCCGCAGCGACTGTGTCGCGGGGTTCGTCAGAAGTCCATGCTTCTGGCTGATATGAGCCCGCTTCGACTATGTCGCGGCTTTCGGCTGATAACCAGTTCCTCTGATAATCCGGGTAAGATGACAAAGGAATCGAGATCTCATGTTCACTCTGCTCAGGGAGAGAGGGTACGGGATGAGACATCGATAGGACAAGTAAAAGGTAAACAAATTTACTATATCAGGAATGGTAAGTGAGGTGGCCGGCCGACGACACGACGACGACGCGGGGACGACCCCGCGGCGCACGCGAGCGGGCCAGCTCGCACCTTTTATCTCCTGCAAGCAAGCAAACAGCTGCAGAATGCAGTATAAGTTATTGCCATACAGTGCGCAGCATACAAGTGTTAAAACAAACAATATTAATATGAGGCGGAGAGGAGCGGGTCCGCACATCTTCATGGTCTCCCCGTCTCACGCCAGGTCGCGCTGGCAACCGCTCGTCGAGCACGGCGCATGGCGTGGCGGTGCGGTCTACGTGACTGCCCCTTCAGCCATCCGCCGCGGCCTGAGAGACGCCCCCTCTGGCCGCCTCGGCCAGGTCGCCCCCGCTCCGCGGGCGGTCTCCTCCCGCCCCGCGGGCGGGTGGGCAGCTCGCCCTGCCCATTGCCCGCAAGCGACGTACACCTTGTAGGGCGGACCCCAGGAGTCCGGGGCCTAGAGAAGCGGCGCGCCCCCGCCGCGCAGCAGTCCCACCCTTCGGGCGGGGGGCATGGCCCGCCGCGCGCGCAGGTCCGCGGCAGCCCTGAGCGGGAGGCGAGCGCGATCAAGCCTCAACTGCAGGGCCGCCGCGGGAGGCGGGGGGCGCGCCGCGCTAGCCTTTTTAGGTCTTGAGCCCAAACAACTACGAAAGAAATTGTCGCACTCCCCCTCACTGTCCCCGCCATACTCCGTGCTATAAGGTGAACCGAGAAGCACATTCATCATCACCGCGATCGTTCCATTAGTTATCCCGGTCGCCGTCGTCAACATAAACATCGTCAACGTCATTCGCACCTCACGGGTGCACGAACCAACTGTTTTGGATCCATACTGACAAGTATGATTCTTCAACATGAATGGGGGATTTGGGCTCAACATTTCCCCCCCGTCGCCAACCCCTTCCGTCCCAAGACACCCGTCGATCTATGATGTTCAACGTGTGGACCCTATACTTCCCGCCTTCCCCTGAGCAACAAGGGAAGGCATTCCGTCTGGGATACACGATACATCTTAAATTGCCCCATGGCCAGAGAGATGAGAGGGAGGGGGGCAAGAGAGAGAGAGAGGAAATGGAGGAGAGGGAGGATGAGGAAGAGTGTAAGCCCAACGCGCAGCAGCGATGTTGCAAAACACCCGACTTCCAAGTTCCCTCGTCATAAGCCCCTAAAGGAAGTTGAAACAATTGCGGGAAGTGGCCCATTCGTCTGAGAATCCTCAGTCACACCAGAACACAATTCCAAGGACTTCAGCGTTGCGGATTCAGATAACTGTGGCGTCCTGACGCTCCGCAACCGTGCCAGAACGCCGCTGCTGGGGCTTCAACGCCGCGAACCAACGTGGCCGTAACGTCATGGCCACCCTCAATCGCACAAGAACGCAATTGTTTAGACTTGAGCTGTGCGAATCCCTGGTGCTGCTGGAAACGTTGAAAACATATGTGCGCGGCGCTCACAAGAGAGCCACATTTTGATCAGGGACCGCCCTGCATCCTTCATATTGCTGGGAACTGTTTAAAAGAATGTGGGCAACGCCAAAACGAGAATCCCATTCTGAAAACAACCGGCCTCCATGCTTGACTTTGTAGCACATTGAAACACATGCGCGCGGCGCTAAGGCGAAAACCACACTTTGAAAACCACCCGCCCTCCCTCCGCGAAGCTGCTGCGTCAAGAAGCATGTACGCGGCGATGAAACAAGAGCCGCACTTTGACGACGGCACGCCCTCCGTTTGTGAAGCACGTGCAAGCTTGTAGAGCACGTGTGCGCGGCGCTGAAGCCAAAGCCTCATTTTGAAAACGGCCAGCCACCCTTCCGCGAAACCGTTGCCAAGTACAGTCTCCAGCATTATTAACGGCGAGAACGTCTGAGGCAGAACTCCTGGCCCGCCTGGCCCGCCCCCCCAACGCGTCTGGGGGTGCGACAAGGGGGAGCTACTTGTCAGGACGAGGAATGGAGGTGGAGGAGGGAGGGAGGAAGGAAGAGGGAGGAGGGAGGAGGGATGGAGGACGAGGAGGACCCTCCCCGAGCGCACCGCCATCGGCGGAGCGCCGCGCGCCGCCTGGCAGCGGCCGCAGAGGCATGGCGCGCTGCTGCGCGCCCGCCGCAGCCCGCGGGCGGCGCCGAGGGGCTGGAGGGCGCCAGCTACAGTCGGACTCGATTGGACAGGACACGCGAGAGGACACAAGACCCTTCCGAGGGCCACATTGCCACAGGAGTGTAGGAATCATGGGTCGCGAGACACAGGACACAAGGGTACCCTTGATTTGGCAGGGTCGACCTACTAATCTGGGCCGACTGTACCACCGAAAAACGTCGGGGCAGAACCGGCTCAGAGGTGCGAGGCCCTCGAGGTTCGAGGATCGAGGCTGGAAGGCGCCACCTGCCACCGAGGGGCAACCTTAGGGGAGGCTCGAGGGGTTCGAGGCTCGAGGCTCGAAGGCGCAAGTGATACCGAAAGGTCATTCCTGAGACCCGGGCGTCGAGGCTTTTTGGCGTCCCGAAACGGTGCGGTGACAGACCGTGCGGTGACCTCGGAATCCCCAAGACCTCACCGCACGGTCCGTCAACGCACGGTTTTGGGACCCCGGATGCCCCAATCGCCCGAGATGTCCTCGGAGAGCGACCCGAGTCCCAAAACCGTGCGGTGACCCCGAATCCCTGCCGATTCACCGCACGGTGTGGTCACCACCCCGTTTGGGGGCCCCCGAAGATTGTTCACACCGGAAAATGTTGCCTTCGTTCGGGCCCCGGGACGATCACAGAACGAACCGGTCAGGAAAGTGCAGCAGAAAGGTGGGGTCTGGGCTTCTGGCCGTGATGTTTCCCGATGTTGCATGTTCGTCATGGTCGCGATGTGGCTCTCAGGGACGCTATGGGGTTCCAGGAGGACCAGCTAGGTGAGGACCAGCTTAGGGATTCGAGGTTTCAGGTTTCAGGTTCGAAGCTTTGGGACGCTTTCGTTAGTTATCGGCGGCTTTCCAGCTTCGCGATGCCTTGCAACGGCTAGGGGCGCCTGGGGCTGCCTGGATCGTTCCGAACGGCCGCCAGAGGACTAGGATATGACCCGAAAATCGCCAGGGGACCAGCTCAGGGGAGGTATCGTCGAGCTTGAATCTGCGATGCATCGCCGCCAGATCGGCGATGTGCCCCCGAAAGCAAAATCGCACGGCTCTGGGCGGGGTAGGCAGTGGGCGATCGAGGGTCGACGCACCCCCCCTGAGCTTCTCCCCCCCAAGACGGTGCTCCTGAGCACCGATCCTGGCCAGGCCGAGTCCAACTCTCCGACGATGCGACAGCTCTGAGTACCAGCTGATGTTCGTCGACCTCGGCCATCAAAGGGCCGATTTCGGGCCCTGGGGCCCCGAAGCAGTGATCCCAAACGGAAGCCTACCTCTGGGGAAGGGGTTGGAACCTCTCAGGCCAAGCGTTGACCGAAGCAGATTGGCAGATGCTAGGGTTGCACCTGCACCAATCCTGGGCCAAGTCGAACCTAGGCCCTGGGTCGGTGTACTGCACCTTCCTGGCCAAGCTGGGAGGGCGCATACACAAGTCCCAGGGCCAGGTCCGACCTGGGCCCAAGATCGGCAGGATCAATCTGCATCGAATTGGGATCTCGGGTCGGATCGGAACGTGCGTCGGGCCGCATCGGCACTGTGTCGGAATCCAATCGGATTCGCTGCGCCTAGATGCATAACAACGGCAAGCAAGCATCGGGCCGCACCGGGTCGTAGGAATACGGGCATCGAAGCTGGTCGAGCGCGCCGATATCGACATCGAATCAAAACGCTCGGATCGAAGTGGTGCAAAGATCGGTGGCCAATCCAGGAGGGCACACGCATCGACCCCGAGAGCCGACCATGAGGAAAACATGTAGCGTCCAAACAACCAACTCGCGAGGGCGGCCGCAAACTCCACAAATTCTAAAAACAATCCAGAAAAAAGACCACGAACAATGACTGGATGGATTCCCTCCAAGAGAGAGTTGGGAAGCAACCCGGCTCCTCCTCAAACCCAAGCCAATCAAACATGCCTCTGTCAGAAAGCCAGACGGCGATCTGAGTGACTCGGCGGGCAGGGCGACTGTGATGGCGAACTATTTTGACCACGTGAAATAGCAGCGACGCTTTGACGACATGAGCCCGGCAGGTGACACGCTGCTGGGATCGTTGATGCCAATCAGCACATCGTCGTTCACGCTGATCGAACTCTCGAGGAGTCTTAGCCAAACTGAAGGTTGGAAAGGCGGCGGGGCCCGAAGGCATTCCGCCAAACATTGGGAAGGCAATGGCAAATGACGATCTTGCAATTGGGTTTTCACTCCGCGTTTGCCAACAACTCTGGGAAGCAAAGACACTTCCAAAATCGTGATGTCGCGCAAAAACGGTACCCTTTTTCTTTTAAGAAAGATGACGCAAAACTTCCGGCAAACTACCGTCCTATACCGCCATTGCCGGTCGGCTACACAATCCTGGCTTCTATGCTGCACCAAAGAGGCTGAATGCCAAATTCGAAATACGGGTTCCAACCTGGCCGTGCCACTACAGACGCGCTGCTGCTTCTGAGGCGAATGACAGACGATATTGCTCTTTATGCTGGACTGGGCGAAATCATTCGACAAAGCAGACGTCATCTGCGCAATGTTGTACAGATTTGGGCTTCTCGTAAAGCTAGTGCGCATGATCAGGATATTTACGACGACAGACGGTACTTCCTCACACAGGATCACACTGGCTCATCTTCAGAAACGCTTCAACGCACGAAAATTGCCCAAGGGTGGCCGTGATTGCCTTACCTGTTCATGGCTGTGCAAAGCGTTCTCTTGCACGACGTGTTCGATCAAGCCGATCTTCGCGACAGTAGAACATTTCTTTATACCGACGATACTTGCTTGGCGTCGCAGCCCCAGGAGAATGCGCAAAAGATGCTCAACGCCGTCGTCGAGGAGGGCAAGAAATACGGAGTCGTATTAACTTTTGACAAACGGCTTTAGATGCAAATCTTGACGGGGATGAGCACCACGAGACCAGATGATGGACCTATTCGCTCTATGCGAGAAACCGTTTACCTCGATGGCCTGATCACCTACGACAGAAAAAGGCCTCGTTGGAGATATCCCGGCGCTTTGGGGAAGCGACTGGAGTCCTCAACAAACTACGGAAGATGCGGTCCCATTCGTCCATAGGCCTGGCGCCAAGCTGAAGATCTACAAAGCGTGCGTCTTGAGTAAGCAAGCTGTTGTATTCCCTCGACTCTGTGTGGCCTTCCCATGCTGATGGAATTCGGGATGCTTTCCATTGCAAAATTCTGAGGCGCATCTTGGGCATCCCGTGCTCATACGTGTCAAGAACTGGCAGCGATGATGTCCTAAGAAGAGCGTCCGTTCAGGCGTTTCGAATATCATCGCCTCCAGGAAGCTCGCACTGTTCATTTGCGAGCAGAAGCGCCGGCTCTTTAGACAGGGAGGTTCTGTGCAACCCCGACGGTACCCCACGAAACAGGGCGACCAGAAGATGACGAGGCCGCCCCCTGGCAGCAGTGGGTAACACAATTATATACAATGAAACAGTGTCTTAACGTACTGTGTTTGGTTCACTTAAAACCCTTAGGTTCCCCTTCTCCCCCTCTACCTCATCCTCATCTTCCTTCTCCTCCTCCTCATCATCATCATCCTCCTCCTCATTCTCCTCCGTTTCCGGCTGGGCTGTTTAGTCCATCCAGTTGTGACGCCCAGTGTGATATGGGCTAGTTGAGATTATATTTCCACGGCGAATCCAACCAGCCCGCGCGTCCTGCAGGACGCGTTGCCATATTGCAAGCAGCTAGCTGGGGAGCGTTTGCTTCCGTCGCTCCACTTTGGCACATTGCAGTATCACCAGCCGAGCAGTCCAGGACACATCGCGACCACGACGAGAATGCAACATCGGGAAAAAATCGCGACCAGAACCCCAGGCCCCATATTTCCGCCACAGTTTCGACCCGTATCGATCTGTGAAGGTCCTGGGGCCCGAAGCCAAGTGAAAAACGCCCGGTGTGACAAAGTCGCACCACCCAGATCTGAAGGGATCCTTGGCCCAGGATGGGCCTGGTCCTGTCAGAGTTGGCGAAAATGTACTCGGACCTCGTGGGGACCTCGGAACCCCCAACGACCTCATCGCGCGGTCCGTCACCGCACGGTTCTGGGACCCCGGAGGCCCCAGTCGCTCGAGACATCCTCGGAGATCGTCCCGGGTCCCGAAACCGTGCACGTGACTCCGAATCCCCTCTGGCTCACCACGCGGTGTGGTCGCCACACCATGCGGAGGGCCCCGGAATAGCAGCTGTCGCCCTCCCGAGGAAGGGGCCCGCGCCGCGCCCCGCGCGGCGCCAGCCTGGCGCCCGAGGCCGGGCGCCCGACAGGGCTGAGCTAATGGCGGCCAGTGGCGAGCTGAGCTGGCGGTGGTCAGCGGAGCGACGCTCCCAAACGGGTTTACGCGAGATGGCACAGCGACTTTGCGCAGCAGCTTAGCTTACGCGGGCGGCAAGTGCGGTACGCCACATTGAAGAAGGGGGCGATTACGCCGACCTTATGCGGGCACCTTGCGCGCCGATGTCGGCGCAGGCGACCACCCGTTTTTTGGTTGCGTCGCCAGGCTGATGACGAGCTCAACAGCGACGAAAAGAAGCAGGCCTTGCGCAAAAAGACATAGCCACCTTGCGCCACGGCTTACGCGGGCCGCCGGAGTGGCACACCGCGTGGAGAAAAAGGCGCTTGCGCGCGGCCTTCCGCGGGAAACTGACGCGCGCGGGTCGGCGCCGACGAACCCGTTTCCTTCTTTCGTTCAACCCGGGTAGATGAAACCGCGCCGCTTGGCCGATGCATCGGTCATGCATCGGCGACGCCGGCGTGGCGAAAATCTGGACCCCGCATCGAGTCGCATCGGCGATGCATCGGCGATGCAACGCGATCCTCTGACCCCATCTACTCGGACCATGTACTTACGAGCTTAGCTGGCGGTGGTTTGGAGACATGCGCGCATTGCGGACCGAACAAACAAACAACGACGACACACGTGGATCGTGTTCGGCCTCCGGGGCCCCCCCGAGGCCCCCGAGGCCCCCAAGAGGCCCAAGAGGCCCCCCGGAGGCCCCAAGAGGTTCGAAAGAGGCCCGAGGGGCCCCCAAACATTCCCCTAAAAGGCATCAGAACAGGCATCCAAAGGCCACCGACGGGCCTCGACGAGATCCCGACGTCCAAGAAACCTCAGACCCACTACCCAGGCGGGGAGGCAGAATGGTCCGAAGGCCACTAGACCTGCCCCAAGAATAATCAGATCACAACCGGTCGGGTGAAATCCCAACGGAACGGGCCAGATCACAACCGCCAAGCACAGCTGGGACGGGTGAGATCCCAACCGCTCCAGGGGAATCCTTCGGGCATCTGAAAGATTATGAGAGATTCTGAGAGATGCTGAGAGCTTCTGTAAGCTTCTGAATGCTTGTGAGAGCTTCTGAAAGCTTCTGAAAGCTTCTGAGAACCTCTGAGAGCTTCTGAAAGCTTCTGAGAGCATCTGAGAATTTCTGAGAGCTTCTGAGAGCTTCTGAGAGCTTCTGCGAGCTTCTGCGAGCCTCTGAGAGCTTCTGAAAACGTTTGAAAGTTTCTGAGAGTTTCTGAGGGCTTCCGAAAGTTTCTGCGAGCCTCTGAAAGCTTCTGAGAGCTTCGTGTCGCGCTGAAGGACTGGCAAGCTCTCCTATTGCAGCACAAGAGATCCTTTCCCGTCTTGTAGTTGCCCAGCGAATGAGCGTCTGGCCGGGCGCACAGCAAGGCGGCGGGAGAGGGCGCGGAATTCCCGCGAGGGAAATCCGTGGGCTTCGACTTTGTTTCCTAGGAATCCACAAGCGCACCCCGAAAAAACCCAGGGCGATTTCTGACAGCCCCCTCCCGCCACCCGTGTGGCGCGCGCCGCCACATTCCGTCGCCCCGAAGGAGTCGGACAATTTTTGAGAAACCGGCATGAACTTTCCGACCCCTCATCGGCGAGTCGGCCAATCGAAGAGTTGGCCAATCGGCCAGTCGGCCAGCCAGGGAGATGGCCAGTCGGGGAATCGGCCAATCGGCCAGTCGGGGAGTCTGCCAGTCGGCCAGTCGGGGAGTCGGGGAGTCGGCCAGTCGGGGAGTCGGCCAATCGGGGAAATCAGGAAACGTCGGGGAGTCGGCCAGTCGGCCAGTCGGGGAGTCGGGGAGACGGGGAGACGGGGAGTCGGAGAGTCGGGGAGCTGAAGAACCGGGCAATCGGGCAGTCGGGCAGCCGGCCAGTCGGCCAATCGGCGAATCGGGGAGTCGGGAAGTCGGCCAGACGGGGATATTGGAGAGTCGGGGGGTCGGCTAGTCGGCTAATCGGGGAGTCGGCCAGTCGGCCAGTCGGGGAATCGGCCAGTCGGGCAGTCGGGGAGTCGGCCAGTCGGCCAATCGGGGAGGTCGGCCCATCGGCCGGTCGGCCAATCGGGATGTCGGCCAGTCGGGGAGTCGGGGAGTCGGCTAGTCGGGAAGTCGGCCACGTCGGGGAATCGGCCAGTCGGGGGGTCGGGGAATCGGCCAATCGACCAAGCAAGGAAACGGCCAATCGGCCAAGCGGGGAGTCGGGGAATCGGCCAATTGGCCAGTCGGGGAAACGGCCAATCGGCCAGATGGCCAATCGGGGAGTCGGCGAGTCGGGGAGTCGGTGAATCAGAGAATCGGCCAGTCGGCCACTCGGCCAGTCGGCCAACCGGCCGTGCGGCCAGTCGGCCAGTCGGAGAGTCGGCGAGTCGGCGAGTCGGCGAGTCGGCCAATCGGGGAGTCGGGGAATCGGGGGGTCGGGGACTCGGCCAATCGGCCAGTCAGCCAGTTGGGCAATCGGGAAGCCGGGGAGTCGGGGAGTCAAGGGAGACGGTCAGTCGGGGAGTCGGCCAGTCGGCCAGTCGGGGGATCGGTCAGTCGGGCTCGGGCGCAGTGGGGTCCCCCTGGACCGTTGGATGCTGTGCTCCGAACGCCTGGCCGCAGAGGTGCTCGTCGCTGCCACTGTCTGCGAGGATGAGCCCCCTGCGCTCCTCCCTGCGGCAGCCTCCGACCGAGCCCCTGGTTCCAAAGACCCAACCGACCTCGTCGCCGTCGGAGCCTGCGGCCACCGCGCCCACGGCCCTCTGGCCGTCAGCGCCCGCAGGGCTTTGCTGGACAGCGGCCGCCTTCGGGAGCGCTGCCGACGGCGCCCGTGGCTTGCCGGCCGCCGTGCGCCAGCAGTCCTTCCCCTCGCGCCCCTGCTTCTGGCACCAGTTGCAGGTTCCTTCGAACTTGGCGGGGTGGCTGCCCTTGAGCTTGTCCTTATTGACTCCCTCATTGCTGCCCTTTCCGCCCTTGTCGCCATTGTCGCTCATCTTGTCGCCCTCGCCGCCCCCCGACTTGTCGCCCTTGCGCTTGGGCCAAGGCTGTTGCGGCAGGGCGTGGCCCGAGATCGCGCCGAGCTCCATCGGCGCCACGCCTTGGCCCACCGCGCCGCCAGCTGCGAAGACCTGCCCAGACGCCATCCACTCTGTCAGGTGGGTCCTCAGCGACATGCTCGAGACCATGCGCAGCACGCTCTTGCACGGCTCGGGGCCATGGACGAGCAGCGTGGCGATGCGAAACTCATCGCCGAAGTCCTTCCCCGCCTGCATCATGACGTACCTCGCCACGTCGCTGTCGCAATCAACGAGATGGTCAGCGAACGGCTTCTGGTCGCCCCACCTGGGTTTGAGCAGGCCGCTGAGCATGGCCGCGAGACTGTCGCCCACCCCAGGTTCGCACTCGTTCTTGACCGCCCGCCAGGCGACGAAACCCTCGTGCCTGCCCGCGAGCGTCAGCATCGCCAGCGCCTTGCGCTGGGTCTTGGTGATCAACATGGCATGCAACAGCTTGCTCGTCGCTGCCGCGCGCTCGCCCATGCTGACGTTGTCCACCGCGAGCGCTGGCTGGGCCTCAACGTTGTCGATGAGGTCGTCCCAGCCCATCAGCGCAAAGAGCGCGTGGGCTTTGATGGACCAGCTGGGCCAGTCCTCATCTCTGCCGCTGAACTCTGGCAGCTTGACGTCGCCTCTGCAATCCACCAGCTGCTCTCCGGGAGCCGCTGCCGCAGCGCACGTCCTCAGTCTTCCCGTGGGTCTGGCCCGCGTAACTCACCGCAGAACCACGCTCCGTTACCATGGTGGAAATTACGCGGACGCGTGGGGAAAGCGTATATTGGGGCCGTTTCTCCTCCAATGCAGCTCCAACAAAAGGTCCTGCGGGCATGCTACGATTTGATGGCGTCCGAAGCACTCAAGATCCCGAGCATCTTGGGGTCATCTTGGCCTCCCCGAGGCCGCATTGGGCGGTGCGACTACGAAAAAACTAACATGCAAAAAATGCGTGCTTGTACTAAAGAAATCAAGCGTTTTGTCTTTTTCGCGACCGTCTTGAAGGTCCTCTTGGAGCCCAAATGGACATTCGGGGGGGGGGGGCCTGGGTCATCTTGAAAACACCCTGAACGGTTTTGGAGCGCTCTGGGGGCGTTCTTGGGTCATCTTGGAGGAGTCGGGCCGTCTGGAAGCCATCGGAGGTGCTCTTGGAGCGCTCTCGGGGGCGAAGGAGCCTCCCGGGCGGCCGAAAACGGGCAAGTCCCCCCCGGGCCACATTCGACTGCCCAGGGGGGCGGAACCATTTGTCAGTGTGTGCCGGGGGAAGCCGGGGGACCCAACACTCCGACATATCTGTTACTAAGTCCATATATGCTTATGTATATATGTGTAGATGTAAGCATGCGATAATCAACATCATCGGCGAACACCATGGCGTCGGCGAACATCATCTGCGAACATAATCGGCGGCGGCGCGCGCGGCGGCGGCCGGCCAGCGCGCGCCCGTGGCCCCGGCCTCCATGCCAGCCGCGGCGCGCAACTGCAGGTCCCTCGCGGCCTCCTGCCGCCCCGTGTCGGACAACAGCGCCGCCTGGCTCCGAAGGAGGGGCGGGGGCCGACGACTCCAAACCCCGACGCTCTCAAACGGACAGATAGGAGTGGGGGACTCCAACGAAGCGAAAGCGCTACAGTAAAAGGTATTTGGTGCGGGCTGTCAATCCCGAGGGGGGTTCCCGCTCGAGCGGTGAACCCCGTTCGACAAGACACACCCATACAGCCCCTCCCGAAAAATCGCAGGGTCGCATACGTGTGGGTGCTAACTGTCAACTCATGACCCGCGCAATGAAACAACTCGATGTGCTTGTTACTACTTTCGGCCTCCAGGAACCCTCGCCGAGCCCCGAAACCGTCAAACAACTGCTCAGGATGAGAAGCCAGCCCTGGGGAAAGGCTCGGGACGTCTGGGGTCCGCGCATCGAAAAAAATAGACTTTGGATGTCTGGGAAGAGGCCTCCGGCGACTTCCAAGAAGAACCCCAGGAACGCTGCAGAGTTCCAGAAGGGACCAAGAGCACATACAGGCAACCACACGGTGCGCGAACTCTACTCCTGCAGGTCAAATAAATGGAAAAACGTCTGGGGTTATAAGTGTGCGGCTGTCTGCGGGCAAATGAACCCCAGCGGGGGTGTCCGATACTCCAGCGTCGACTGTACCCACAGGAGTAGGGGCCACTAGTGATCGCAAAGCATGTCAATGTATGGCAGACCCAAAGACGGCACCAAAAACAAAACAGAGGCACCATTGTATCTCCAAGGTGGCCCACAATGGTCCACAGGAGCACCCAAAAATGTTAATGTCATTCAACAGTCACTGTGGTATTATCTTTCTCGCTAGTTCGATTCCGATGGCTTCTGCAGAGGCCTTAAGATTGCTTCAAGATCGCCCGATGTAGGTCCAAAAGATGGTGTGCCGCTCCGCCGCGCTTCGGCGCGGTACGCTGTCCACTTCCCGGCCCCGATGCGTCAACGTCCCGAGCCTTTCCGAGCCTCCCGCCAAGCGGAGCTGAGCGACACGCTCTGTCCGCTTGCAAGGCACAAGGTGTCGCCGGGGCCGCCGCCGCGACACGCGAAGCAAACATTCCCGACTGTAAGAGGGAGGACGCGAGGAAGAGGGAGGAGACCGACCCAAGGCAGGCGAGCGACGCAGAAAGGCGCCCACCCCGCGGACATTCGGCGCGCAGGCGGCCCGCGCAGGGACCTCCGGGCAGGCGCCCTCGCCCCCTCGCGGTGTGCGCTCGTGCTCGCGGCTCGCGTGAGGCCACCGCCTGAGGCAGCCGCGCCATCGCGCGCAGGACGCCCCATCTCATACCCGACGGTTGTTTGTTTGTTTGTTTGGTTGGTTGTTTGTTTGTTTTTTCGTTTGTTTGGTTGTTTGCTCGGTTGTTGTAATTAGCATTTTACCCCTTGCGACTTGGTGGCAGGCTCGTTTCCACCTGCCTGTACTTGCACCTCCCACCGGGTCCTCGGTGCCCGAGCCCGCCCTCGCGCCCCTTCCCCGCCGACTCGGCGGACGGGCCTCCTCCGCAGCTGCCCTATTTGTTTCTGATCGCCTTCGCGCCCCGCGCCCGTTGCGCCCCGCCGGTACCGGCCTGCGCGCCCGCGATCGCAGGCGCCGCCGAGGAAAGAAGTTTCGGGGAGAAGTGAGGCTCGGGTTCGGGGACTCGGGTTGGCCTGACGGGGCCGTCAGGAAAATAGCAAGACCCAGCCTGAAATATGACGCGGGCTCCCGTTGCAACCGCCCCACGGGAGGTGTGCCGTCAGAGTCCAGGACGGGTCCGTCAAAAAGCGCCGGCAGACCCTAGTTCTGGCCAACTCGAGTCTCAGGTTTACCCCGAAACGTCCGCTTGTCCACCGAAGCCCCTCGATACGACGCAACCGCAGTACAACGAGGGCCGACACAGGCTGCGCGCCCGCTACAGGCCTCGCCCAAACTCATACCACATCGATCTGTCAATGCCCTCTCCAATGATCAATGTTGGCGGTGGGTTGACTGAGTTGCACGTCGTCCTCAGTCTTCCCCGCGCGTGGCAACTTGGAGTTTTGGGGAGGGGGGGAAGTGTCCACTAGTTGTTCCTCTCTACCGCAGTGGCGGAGCTGGAGTTGAGCAAACACACGCTCGGGCTAGCACGCGTTTCCCTGATAGTTTCTCGTCCTGGCGCCAGGCATCCGGCGTGTTGTTATTGCTGCCCTCGCTCCTGGCCTGCCGGGCCTCGGGCGCCTCGGCCCCTGCCCCCCGCGCGGGGCAGCCGCTCGCCCATCGGAGACCCGCGCCTGACGGGCCGGGGAGCGGGGCCTTCGCAAGGCCGTGACCGACTTCACTAAACTCGAGCTGCAGATGAGCTAGAGAGCTCTTTGGCACTGCAATCGGGAGGAAATCATCAGGCGCTAGTCTAAAGTATCTAGACGCCTGAATTCGGTCTGCTATCAGCGCAGAAGCCGAAACACTATTCGTACTCTGCTATTTCTTTGGAGATGGAATTGTTTGTTTGACTTAACTCGAGCTGCAGATGAGCTAGAGAGCTCTTCGGCACAGCAATCGGAAGGAAATCCGCCGATCCGGCGTGTGAGTTTCAAGGAGTCTCAGCTACAGCCTCGAGGCTGAGCCTCAGCCTCTGGGGGGGTTGCTGGGGTGGCTCTGCCGGGGAAGGGGAGGCGGGGGGGGATGTGCGAGTTTCCGGCGGATGCGTTGTTTGACACCCCTCACAAGGATCGTGGCCTCCGAGAGGGTTCCGAACTCGAGTACCACCCCTCCCGCCCCAAGAGGCTCCGAGGAGGCCTCCAAGAGGCCCCAAGGGGCGCAGAAGAGGCCCCCAAGAAGCCCCAAGAGGCTCCCAAGAGACCCCCAAGAGGCCCTCTAGTGGCCCCAAGAGGCCCAAGAGGCCCCCAAGAAGCCCCAAGAGGCGCCCAAGAGGTCCCCAGAAGTCCCAGCCAACCACGAGATCCCAACCAGCATCCATGAGGCCTCTGACCCACCACCCACGCACGGTGGCGGGATAGGCCGACGGCCGCTGGATCCGCCGCCCCCTGCTTGCAGGGGTGCACGGCGTGCTGGATGTTTCAGGTTTTGGTTTTGGTTCTTTTTCTAAAATTATCCCGGCAAAGCAACCTAACATCGATGTGTAGGAGCATATCTGGAAGCATTCCCCTTAAGATTCGGATGAGAATCCAGTTGTAGAATTCTGCTGTTCTCGCAGTCGTAGTCGCATTCGCGATGACAGTCGCAGTGGCAACGGCAGTCGCAGTCACAGCCTCAGCCTCAGCCTGCCTCAGCCTCAGCCTCAGCCTGCCTCAGCCTCAGCCTGCCTCAGCCTCAGCCTCAGCCTGCTTCAGCCTCAGCCTCAGTCTGCCTTCAGCCTCGGCCTCAGCCTCAGCCTGCCTCAGCCTCAGCCTGCATCAGCCTGCCTCAGCCTCAGCCTGCCTCCTCAGCCTCAGCCTCAGCCTCAGCCTCAGCCTCAGCCCTCAGCCTCAGCCTCAGCCTCAGCCTCAGCCTCAGCCTCAGCCTCAGCCTCAGCCTCAGCCTCAGCCTCAGCCTCAGCCTCAGCCTCAGCCTCAGCCTCAGCCTCAGCCTCAGCCTCAGCCTCATCAGCCTGCCTCAGCCTCAGCCTCAGCCTGCCTCAGCCTCAGCCTCAGCCTCAGCCTCAGCCTCAGCCTCAGCCTCAGCCTCAGCCTCAGCCTCAGCCTCAGCCTCAGCCTCAGCCTCAGCCTGCCTCAGCCTCAGCCTCAGCCTGCCTCAGCCTCAGTCTGCCTCAGCCTCGGCCTCAGCCTCAGCCTGCCTCAGCCTCAGCCTCAGCCTCAGCCTCAGCCTCAGCATCAGCCTCAGCCTCAGCCTCAGCCTGCCTCAGCCTCAGCCTCAGCCTGCTTCAGCCTCAGCCTCAGTCTGCCTTCAGCCTCGGCCTCAGCCTCAGCCTGCCTCAGCCTCAGCCTGCATCAGCCTCAGCCTCAGCCTCAGCCTGCCTCAGCTCAGCCTGCCTCAGCCTCAGCCTCAGCCTCAGCCTGCCTCAGCCTCAGCCTCAGCCTCAGCCTCAGCCTCAGTCTGCCTCAGCCTCAGCCTCAGCCTCAGCCTGCCTCAGCCTCAGCCTCAGGCCTCAGCCTCAGCCTCAGCCTCAGCCTCAGCCTCAGCCTCAGCCTCAGCCTCAGCCTGCCTCAGCCTCAGCCTCAGCCTCAGCCTCAGCCTCAGCCTCAGCCTCAGCCTCAGCCTCAGCCTCAGCCTGCCTCAGCCTCAGCCCTGCCTCAGCCTCAGCCTCAGCCTCAGCCTCAGCCTCAGCCTCAGCCTCAGCCTCAGCCTTCAGCCTCAGCCTCAGCCTCAGCCTGCCTCAGCCTCAGCCTGCAGCCTCAGCCTCAGCCTCAGCCTCAGCCTCAGCAGCATCAGCCTGCCTCAGCCTCAGCCTCAGCCTGCCTCAGCCTCAGCCTCAGCCTGCTTCAGCCTCAGCCTCAGTCTGCCTTCAGCCTCGGCCTCGCCTCAGCCTGCCTCAGCCTCAGCCTGCCTCAGCCTCAGCCTCAGCCTCAGCCTGCCTCAGCATCAGCCTGCCTCAGCCTCAGCCTCAGCCTGCCTCAGCCTCAGCCTCAGCCTTCAGCCTCAGCCTCAGTCTGCCTCAGCCTGCCTCAGCCTCAGCCTCAGCCTCAGCCTCAGCCTGCCTCAGCCTCAGCCTCAGCCTCAGCCTCAGCCTCAGCCTCAGCCTCAGCCTCAGCAGCCTCAGCCTCAGCCTCAGCCTCAGCCTCAGCCTCAGCCTCAGCCTTCAGCCTGCTTCAGCCTCAGCCTCAGTCTGCCTTCAGCCTCGGCCTCAGCCTCAGCCTGCCTCAGCCTCAGCCTGCCTCAGCAGCAGCCTCAGCCTGCCTCAGCATTCAAAATGTGGCCCGGGAATGGAGTTCTGGGAACTCGAAGAACACGAAGTGGCCTACAGTTGGCTCCGGGCATTCAAAATCATGCCCAGGAATGGAGTTCTGGGAACTCGAAGACACGAAGTGGCCTACAGTTGGCTCCGGGCATCCAAAATGTGGCCCGGGAATGGAGTTCTGGGAAATCGAAGAGCACGAAGTGGCCTACAGTTGGCTCCGGGCATCCAAAATGTGGCCCGGGAATGGAGTTCTGGGAATCGAAGAGCACGAAGTGGCCTACAGTTGGCTCCGGGCATCCAAAATGTGGCCCGGGAATGGAGTTTTGGGAAATCGAAGAGCACGAGGTGGCCTACAGTTGGCTCCGGGCAAAATGTGGCCCGGGAATGGCGTTCTGGGATCTCGAAGAGCACGAAGTGTGTGACTGTTGCATCCGGTTATTCAGAATGAGCCTGGGAATGGAGTTCTGGGAAGTCGAAGAGCACGAAGTGTGTGACTGTTGGTGAAAAACGAGGCCGGCACAGGCCCGCCCGGCAACTCCCAACACCTGCCCGGACCCCCCTGTGGAGTGATCTATGACCTCTTTTGACACTACTAGAGACCTATCAGTCTTCGATGTTAGGTAAAAAACTCCCCAGTGGGCTTCGGCCCGTCCCGCCGGCCACCCGTAATTTTCCCAAAATCCGTCTGTCAATGCCTTTGTTGCCCCAACTTGGCCCAAGATGGCCTCCAAGACGGCCAAGATGGCCCAAGATGGCCTCCAAGACGCCTCCCAGACGGCCAAGATGGCCTCCAAGACGGGTAAGATGGCTCCAAGATGCCTCCAAGACGGCCCAAGATGCCCTCCAAGACGGCCAAGATGGCCCCAAGATGCCTCCAAGATGGCCCAAGAGGCCTCCAAGACGTTCTCCAGGAGAGCCCGAAGAGGCCAAAATCATTGGTTTTCCTTAGGTTTTTGAAGGTTTTTTGCGTTTTCTTCTTTTCGGCCTTCCGACGGCCCAAGAGGCCCCCAAGATCGCCCAAGAGGCCTCCAAGAAGGCCCTATGACGGCCCAAGGGCCCCCCAAGACGGCCCCAAGAGCGCCCCAAGACGGCCCAAGAGGCCTCCAAGACGCCCAACATGGCCTCCAAGACGGCCCTGAAGCGCCCCAAGAGGGCCCCAAGACGGCCCAGAGAGGCCCCCAAGACGGCTCCAGACGGCGTCAGACGGACCAGGAACGCCCTAAGACGGCCAAAGAGACCCCCAGGAAGCCCCCAAAGGCCCCCAAGAGGCCCAAGGAGGCCCCCAAGATGCCTCCAAGAGGCCTCGAAGAGGCCCCCAAGAAGCCCCCAACAGACCCCAAGGGTGCCCCAAGAGACTCCTAACAACCCTCATCCTCCTACTCTATTTCTTCCTCTTCCTCTTCCTGTTCATAATCATTCTCTCCCATGTGTTCCCCGAAAGCTTTCCAAACCGACTCGGGGAACTCATGGTCCGATAGCTTGGCCAAGCTCTAGTCCAACTTTCGGCCACATCGGCGTTTCCAAAAAGGCAGGGGGCGGCGGTGATTCGCCGTAGGCGTCTTCGATAAATGCTGAGTGAGAGGAGGGGAGGGAAAAAGAGAGGAGGGACCAGGGCGAAGAAGGATCACATCAGTCGGAGCGCCCCGGATCGGCGGCACTGGCCGAAGACCACTACAATCATGAGACGCGCTAGTTAAAAATATCTAGACGCCTGAAATCAGTCTGCTATCAGCGCTCGGGCTGAACAACTATTCGTACTCTGCTAATCTCTTGGAGATGGTGATGGTGTCTTGACTTAACTCGCGCTGCAGATGAGCTACACAGCTGTTCAGCACAGGAATTGGAAGAAAATCATCAGGGGCGCTAGTCAAAAGTATGTAGACGTCTGATCCTGGTCTGCTATCAGCGCTGGGGGCGAAATACTATTTGTACTCTGCGGACGAGCTACAGAGCTGTTTGGCACAGCAAGTGGAAGGACCCAATCATGCGCGTTAGTTTCAAGTCTCTAGACGCCTGAACTCGGTCTGTTATCAGCACTGGGACCGAACATCTATTTGTACTCTGCTAATTGTTCAGAGATGGTGATGTTCTTTTCTTTTTTTACGCTGTTCGGCGCCGTTATCGCAAGGAATGAAGAGGCGCGCTAGCTCAAAGTGTCCAGACGCCTGAACTCGGTCTGGTATGTCTATTATTTTTTACAAGATATGCTTTCCCCTCACCCCTTCTTCTCCTCCACGTCGTCCTCCATGAGACCGCGCCCTCGCGCGCGCAATGCGAGACTGACCCCCCCCCGCATTGCACGAGGAAGCTCTACGAGTTCCCGGCGGTAACCAAGGTTGGCGGTTTACCGCCGGCTCCCAGTTGGCCGACCCAGCCCGGGCGGACAATGTG